AGGAAGGAAGGAAGGAAGGAAGGAAGGAAGGAAGGAAGGAGAGAGGCAAGAAAGGAGGGAAGCAGAGAGAAAAGGAGGAAATTTGGTTTTGAGCTGAATATAATACCCCAGAGACAATGGCCAAGGAATTTCTTAATGTCTAAAATTCAATTTGAACTTGTTTTGATCACTAGATTATAAAGGCCATCTATGTCCCCAAAGTTTCTACAAAGTCTGCTAGACACACAAATGTGTCGTGTAAGTGGATTTTGCGTAAATCAAGGGAAGGAAGTGGTGCTAAAATGTCTGAATCATTATAGTCTGAAAAAAATAGACTGTGGACTAGGAAGAAGATCCATGAAATGACCTAATTCTTCTAAAGTAGAAGTGCAGAGCCAGAGAATATTAGGAAAGAAAACAGTAAGTCGCCTGCCTCTAATCTCTCCACTTCCAAATTCCTCAGAGATGCTGGGAGTAGCCAGCGCTCCCACCACACAGCGAAAGGGATTGGAAAAGCCGGTTTCACTTTGATATCAAATGACAGGATGCCTCAGCTCGTACCTGAGATACACACAGATTATCTAAGTTTACTTCTGAAAACAGAGGCATCAGATGTTATCATTATCTCCATTGTAGAGATGAGCTAAGATTTAGGGAGCTTAACATACCTGCAGTCAAGTGGCAGAGCCAGGATTTGAACCAAGAGCCCTCATGCCACAGCCCCACGGCTATAGGATATTACACACAAGATGCATTTATAGGCTGTAGGTCAAGAAGAGGGAGAAATCATCGCTTCCCTATGTTTTAAAGGATCATCTTCAAGACAAACTTTGAAACCTTATTATTTATTATGAAGTCAAATGAATGTAGAAAACTTGCAAAGTTCAAGTACAAATAGAAGAGCCCTGAAAAAGGAACGTTCATACACTGACAGTGGGAATGTAAATTGGCACAGCCAATATGGAAAACAACGTGGAGTTTCCTCAAAAATTAAGAACAAAATTACCATATGACCCAGCAATTCTTCTCCCAGGTATCTACCCAAAAAATCTGAAAACATTTATCCATAAAGATATGTGTACCCCGATGTTCATTGCAGCATTATTCACGGTGGCCAAGAAATGGAAACAACCAAAGTGTCCTTCCATAAATGATTGGATAAAGAAGATGTGGTATATATACACAATGGAATATTACTCAGCCATAAGAAATGATGAAATAGTGCTATTTGCAACAACTTTGATGGATCTTGAGATTATTATGCTAAGTGAAATAAGTCACAGAGAAAAAGTCAAAAAAACATATGACTTCACTCGTATGTGGGATATAAAACTGAAAGCAACAAAGGAACGAGACAAACAAATAAACAAAAACTCATAGACACAGACAACAATTTAGTGGTTACCAGAAGGTAAGGAGTGAGGGGAGTGGTAGAAGAAGGAAAAAGGGGATAAAATCTATGGGGATGGAAGGAGAACTGACTCTGGGTGGTGAACACACTATGTGATATATAAATGATGTATTATAGAAATCTACATTTGAAACCTATATAATTTTACTAACCAATGTCACCTCAATACATTTAATTAAAAAAAAGAGAAAAGATGAGCTCTAATAGCAAAATAGATGATTCCCCAAACAGAAATCAAGGCAAGGAAATAGCTTGGCAGTATACCCACGACACCCTTGAATGTTCACAGCATCACAATAAATAGCCCAAGCAAAAGTTTATTCATACCAGCGCATAAAACCTATGTTATAGTACTAATATAAACTCTTATATGTGAGTATTAGATGATTAGCCACCTACATTTAAAAGAGAGACGAAATCTCTATCCTTACAATTTTTTTCTGAAACCCAGAAAGCTGAAGAATAAAAGAAAAACAAAAAAATTGTTTTAAATCAGTTGTCAATCTCTGAAAAACTGTGAATTTTCCAAATCATATGTGAAATGACTAAAATAAACAGTAAGTGATAGCCATGTAAATACCACCTTTGGAGGGGCCTTCTAGGGTTCCTCTAGTGATCTGCAATTTAGAGTAAACCAGAGCAGTTCTGAAAGCCAGTGTATTACTCCTGAAAAGAAGGGGCATGGAACAAATGTATATTAAAATGCATGTCTTGCTTTAATAAGGCATTAATGGGAGTCCTACATACAAACATCTCTTTAATTAGGGGGATCCTTTATTCTAAGAGTAGAGTCAGCAATAGGAAAACTTGAAACTATTCCATCTGTCTGAAATTCATCGATACATTCTGCTGCTCTGAAAAGCCATTAGTGAAATAAGAAAACTTTTTTGTGCTGACTGAACAGATAGATACAGGTGATCAGATTCTCCACAATGCTCTAAGCGCCTTTATTATGATTATGAGAACAGGCACCACTGCCCACAACATACACACCTCCTATGTCTCCATTTCCTGTAAAAATATTCCTCTTCTGCTTCTCCTTGAGCAACTCTGAAAACGAAATATAAAGATGTGTTTCTGGATACAAGAGTGGATAAGGACAAAAGCAAACCAACTGGTGGCCAGTTCTCACTTTCTAAAAAAGGCAAAAGGAGTTGCCATGATAACCACTCATTGAGACGGCTTGTTTGATTGGCATGCAGGGTCCAACAGAGAGCAAACACAAAATACGGCTCTGAGTATTAAAATAAACCAACATGTTTTGGAGACTTGTTTTTAAGTCTCTCCTGCCCAGATTTACAAAAACACAGAGCTCTAATTTACTCAGAGCATGCTGCAGTGAGAAGAATATAATGTTGGAGCCATCCTTTTGACGCCATGAGGCTCAGGGCCTGGAAATTGAGTGACCTGTCCTTCCTCCTCTGCCTTCATTCTGTCTGACCACAGAGGGATCTTCTGAAAAGTTTTCCACTCTAGTCCTCCAAGGAAGTAAGACTCTGAACCTCTAAATGACTCCACAGCTCCCTTAACTGTACAATTCCCCAAACCTCCTGGCTTCCCAGGTAACTTTTCTTGTTCCTACATAAAATGATTCTGTGAGCACATGCGAACTGGGGAAATCTAGAGGATGAGTCACTCTGCCTCGCTACATGTCCAAAGACTCTCTACCTAAGAAAAATATAAGACCCTTCCTTGCTTTTCCTGAAACGTAGTGACTGAACCCAGACTCTATTCTCAGAAAAGGAAAGCAGGCCTTGATCAGCAAAGGATGGTTGGTAGTAAAAACCCTTACAAATAAAGAACTCTATGGAGACATGTATTCGCCATGCTAAGTAATGCAGGTTTATTGAAAAGTACAGAGTGAGACAAGTTCCCTTTTCCAGAGCCTCCCCCAACCAAAAAAAAAAAAATTAGAAGCCAGCAGACACAGCAGCAAGGTCAAAACCACCAGAGACTATGGCGTGGGTGGTAACGTTTCTGGAAACATCCAGAGGCATATGCGCCACAAGTGATCAACACTTAAAATAAGCTTGGTGTTGGCCAGAAAAATCAGAGATTGCCAAAGGCAGCTTATTCAGGGCTAATAACCAGCAACCAGGCAGTCGGAATAGGGGTCAGCGATGAAGAGTTATTCAAGGACAGGCAACACACTGGAAGATTCTAGAAACACAGCTGGCAGGTCATGGAGTCTTGATTCGTTCACTGGCTCCTACACACTTAGTAAGTTCTTCGGCAGCTGGACACGCAGGGCCGCTGGTACGTCCTGGAGACACCACAGGCTGGCTGGCAGATGGTGGAGATACCTCCCACTGGTTGGCACACATTGGAGACTCCTCCCACTGGTTGGCACACAGCGGAGACTCCTCCTACTGGTTGGCAGACAGTAGAGATGCCACCCAGGGGCTGACAGCTACTGGAGACAAAGGTGAGTGGCCGGCTATAGGTAGTTGAGCAGGGATTGGAGACACAGGTGGTCTGTCGAGAACAAGTCATCGGTCCAGGTCCAGAGACACAAGAAGCTTGTGGGTAGCAGGTTGGCTGGCACACAGAAGGCTCAAAGCAGGTCTCCTGACCACAGTGTTCCAGGAGCCAGGAGCCAGTTTGGAAGGAACTGGGCAAACAGATACCACTCAGGCAGTCGATTTCGTGAGTAGAAGCTGTGGCAGCCGGGGCCACAGGCATAGTGTGGGGTCCTCCGGTCGGCCTGGCCGAGCAGTTCCTTGGGGAGCAGTTGTAGGGCATGGTGCCAGGGAGAGAGCTGAGGTAAACTTGCTAGAGATGGCTCCTGAACTGTGAATGCCACTTCAGGCTCCAGAGCTTTTATATATCCTTGCTGAGGGGTGGGGCTCCCACTCTGGTCTTTCTGGTTTCTTTGGCTCAGGCCAGCTTGCTTCATAACATCTTGTGAATCTCCAAGTTAATTGTCTCTTGAGAAGCCTTTATCCTCATAAAGAAAGTTTAGTAGTTTGGCAGTTAAATCATAAGGCTTCTGTGCTCTGCTTAGTCCCAGGATGAAGGCTGGTTGACAGCTTCAAAGCTATTGGTCATCACAACCCACACTTCATCCCTTATTCATCTTGCATGGATACAATGAGTGTTGACCTGACAGTAACACCAAAAATACTAGCACTCTACCATCACACACTCTCCCTTCTGAGCAGGGCTAATTACAAACCCACACTCTGTTTGGCTTGTTGTCAGCACTTAATATGTTTTGAGGATAACTTAATCAACCACTCTTCCATAGCTAACGGGGCTTCTAGTGGACAAGGAACCTCCCTGAATATGCTCCAAGGTGACAATAACAACACCTGTCAGGAAAAAGGCACAAAGGCTTATGTACCAAGTAGGAGCTGCTGGCTCAGAAAATGAATCAAGTGGCCAGAGCATGATGCCAGCAGGAAGGTCAGAGGGCAGTGGGGCCCACCCTTATGTACCAGCACCAAAGCAAATTAGAAGCTAATTACATAGGACTGCATGGGCACCAAGTCCCTTTCTAAACAAACTGGATAAGCTTTATTCCTAAAAATTGTAATCTAATGACAATGGGTTGGAGTGACTCATAAGACTTTATATGCCAGAGGAACAGGTTTAGCAAATTTTT